TATCAGACCTGAGCACCGCTCACCTGTCAGACTATCAGACCTGAGCATTGCTCTCCTGTCAGACTATCAGACCTGAGCACCGCTCACCTGTCAGATGGGTCCACGAGGGCGATGTCCTTGAGCAGCAGGGGGGCCTCGCTGGCGATGTACATGCCCCGGTAGTCCTCCGTCTTTCCGATGTAGCGGAAGTGCTGCCAAAAGGATGACAGGGCCAGTCACCAACCAGGGCCGCCTGTGTCCACCTGGTTTCCGGAGGTGCCCTGGGTTGCCCACTGGGGGCCCAGATTACCGTACCCTCCGAGGAACCCTTAAACTCACCAGGTTCTTCAGAATGTCGGGGTGACCCTGCTAGAGCTAACGACCCACAACCCAGGACCAAACCAGTTTCCAAGGGTCCAATCCTTTGCCTGTGTGAGCTAGCTGAGACTCCGCCTGCTGAAAATCCTGGACAATAAAGGTTCCCAAGCTCCCAGACAGCTCAACAAACAGATCCCAAATCCGAGGCAACACGCACACGGATACTATAAAGGTCCAAGCCAGGGGAAGGCAAATACGCACTCTTCACGTCTGTTCCACTAGCACTGTGGTTCCCAGTCCTGGGCCTGGTGACCCCCACACACCTGCTGGGGGTTGTTCCAGCCGAGCCCTCAGTGAAACAGTCAGACCCTTCATCGACTTCAGAAGAATAAGATTCATATGAACTGTTTGTTCCCAGCATGTTGGAGTTTTAACTCTTGCATCAATAAAATCCCAAAGTGGTGACTAGAAACAAGAGGCAAATATTCCATTTAAGCAGCTTAGATCAATGAAGGCTTCAGTGATCTAATGAAGGCTGGGCTGGAGTGAAGACCAGCAGATGCCTGGGTCACCAGGACCAGAACTGGGAAACAATCCGCTCCCAGGAGTCTGATCCTACCATCAATCACTCCACTGGTCCTCATTCCTGAGAGCAACAGAACCAGAAGATCGGACACAGTGCGGGACGTTCGCGTGCGGATCAGGAACGAGACTGGTTCAGCCCGGTCCTCCCACATGGCCGCCGGCGCCCTTACCGCATTGAGTCCCTCCAGGATGACCCAGTTCCGCGCCCGGATCACCTGGCTGACCTTTCCCTGCTTCCCGCTGTCCTTCCCAGACAGGATCTCCACCTGGCCGAAGGAGGAGAGGGTCAGATCAGAATTCGAATCTCAGAGCACAAACCCCTCACAACGCAAACAGAGAAATGAAAGTGGCCTTTGAATGAAATGCCAGTGGAATTATATCGCTTCTGCCACCTCCTCGTCTGCAAGGGCCTGCAGGAGAAGACGTTGTGTAGCACTGATTGCAGAGCAGCTATGCTGGGACAGGAACAATCATACCCAAGATTTGCAAACCCGGCCCTGAAAAAGCCACATCACAGCCCCCCCAGCTACGATCGAGAGTAGAGCAGTGACAGAGCTGAAGCTGGAGAAACGAAGTCGTACAGAAACACCCCTGGGCCAAGCAGATCATTTTTGCAAGACAACAACCAAAAAAAGTTAATCAGAACCATGATACTCTGCAGACGGACTCAAGCAAGCTGTTGTCTTTGGTGGGAAGACAAGAAGGTGCGTTATTAAAATAGAAAACGAGGATGAGGTTTTGATTTCAGTGGTTAATGGAGGTGTACTCAGTTTTTTAACAGGAACAATCTTAAGAGAGCTTTAACTCCTTTTTTTCCTCTTGGTAGAGGTGTCGCATGTCTTGCTCAAAGTGTCACCCAACATCACAAGCTAAGGAAACGAAGAGAGTTTGGAACCAGTCACTCAGGGCTTATAGGAACGTCCTCCACCGACGGGCTAAAGGAACTGAACCTCTTTGGTCTTGAGCAGAGAGGAGCAAGAGGAAACACGATACAAGATTTCCAAATCCTCCATGGTCACTAACAAAGTCAACCAAGTGGATGTCCTCAGGCAGAACAGTTCAACACAAACCAGAGGACACAAGCAGTAACTGTGTGGACGTGCATTTAAAACTGAGAACAGGAGGCCCCTTGTTTACACAAAGAGTGGTGGGGGCATGGAACAGTCTCCCCAGCCGTGCGGTTGCAGACGATGCCCTGGTTTCTTTCAAGAAACGGCCGGACGAGATCCTGGTGATCTATTAACACTAACGACCGAATAAGACTTGATGGGCTGAACGACAGCCCCGTTTCCCAGCCTCCCCAGCTCCCATGCCAGCCGGCGTGCCCACCGTGTCTCCCTTGAAGACGTGCCAGTCCTCGGGGGCGATGGGCTCCACCGCTACCCTCCTCCTCTTCTTGCCCGGCGGGTTCTGCCTCTGGGCGTTGATGGTCCAGGGCCGGTTGGTGCCGAAGCGGTACCCCGGGGGCACCTTGACGCGGGCAGCCATGGCGAGCAAAGCGGTCAGTCGCATGGTGTCGGGACTGAAGAACGACAAATACCAGGTCAGGGAGCCCGGCAGAGTCGGATTTTGATCATACCGTCCCAGAGAGCCTGCAGATCCCCCATTATCGAGCTACAACGCAATAACTCTCTAGGAGTGAAGAACTGCAGGTATAGTGCAACACTTTACATGAGACACACACACACAAAAATGCGATTAATCTTGTCTGCGCATACTATTGGATGATAAGCAAACGAAACATAACAATCGCTGTATACATTGGAAAATGAGCACATAACGTAGACGGAGTTAAGTATTTAGACAGGCTTATTAAGTAGAATCACAACTTATTGGGAAAACATAGATTCTGTGCTTTTCTCAATCAGGTTATGGATAATTAAGGTGTTTAATTTGTTGTCTATAAACGCAGCCATTGTTTAAACACCGCTTGATTTTTACAGACTGAACTAACAGTTTAACTATGTCTGTTTTTTATGCTGTACGTTATCGGGTGAATTGGCCACTTCTTTTACATCACAGCATTTAAAACGTAGCTGTGAAATGTGACTTTTCTATCCCTATTTAAAACTTCTAAAAACATCTAAAAATGGGGCAAAAAACAGCATCAAAGCCCATTTTCGATGTGACACTGAAACAACTTCGACTTAGATTTTATAAATCATACATTGTCACTGAATCAATTATTAAAAACCAGTTATTAACAAACATACAGTTTGATCATACATTAAATCCTCATTTTAAATGAAATTACCTCTTCCTCAAGGTGCTCCACAGCGCACGCAGCACCGCATGAACCTTCACCTCTAACCTTTCGTAACCTTGATGACAACCGTGATAAACAGGTTATTTCATTTTAAGCCAAGAGACAATGACAGTTAAATAATCCTGAATGCCTCTTCAACCCAGACATATCTGTCAGTGTTTTTAAAAAAGTTTCTCATTCAAAACGAATTTGCTTTCGATCCGATTCACGGTGCACCCTGGGAAATGTTGTTCAAATTCGCGTAGCTTCTGAAAGAGCGACTACTACTAACAATAATAGTAATACTGATAATAATAATAAAATAATAATAATAATAATAATAATACTTAAAGCGATATAGCTTTTCTAAAGCATACGGCACAGTGGTGCCCTTGAAATGACATTAGATGTACGGTGCATTCTGGGACTTGAAGTTTTCCGTAGCTGTGTAGCTCCAGACAAGATGTGGTTGACTCATAAAGACTACAAAAGTCAACAGGCCAACCCGCCTTCATGTGGCCATTTTATGTAACCTACACCCGTTTTATATAGCAAACGAGGAGAAAGATGCGAGCCCTAGTGCGTTTTTCTCCACAAATAGCAGTCATAGGAATTTTATTGTGAATTTTTGCCTTCAAGCAGCTGCGATTTGCTACAAAAGACAGGTTAAATCAAGTTAAATCTGAATATTTTTTCTCTGTTTTAAGTTTTCAAAGGCAGTAATAGTCATTGACTTCTTGGCTTAGGATGGCATAGCATAGATTGAATCTATCAAACACAATCTCCTGTTGTTCTTAGCTTTCATTGAAACAAGTTGATTAGGCTAAATGAACAATTCTTTAATTGAAATGTTCTTAGCAAAAATGCTGGCTGGAAAAAAAACTAACTTTACTAATAATGGCAAGTAAAATAAAGGTCACAAGCAAGATGAAGCCATTTGGCTCTTGTAACCAGTTTAAACTGTGACCACAACTCCCACACAGTCAGCTGCTCTGATTCACTGAGCAAAGCGTTTGCAATTCGAGCAACTGGTCCCAGTTGAAAAAAACAGCTTTGCAACTGTAACAGGAAGCCCAGCTTGTGTCTGCACATGAACAGTGGTAATAGACAAGCACTGTTCTTCAAACTATAGTCAAGCAACAAGTGCACAAGGTTGAAACCTGAGTAGGAATGTTAAACCCCAGTGTCCTTCATAAATGTTCATAAATTGTACAGCCTTGACTCCCATATTTCAACTGGTGCAGCAATTTCTCACTCCTCCACCCAATCTGCTGGGCTTCCTACGCAAAATAAACACCAGGAGACACAGCACCCCCTCCAGGGTCAGGAGTGAGTATCAGTGGTCTTGCTTAACACTGGGTTTTTGACTAAGTGTACTTTAATAACCTCTCAGTCCTGCACCAAGTTTGCTCTGAATACTGAATTTTCCAGGTTAAATATAAGAAAATCTACTGAAATCTGAACAGGCAAAAACTCAAACAAGAGAAAGTATGTTAGAGGGACAAGCTAGATGATGTCCTTCACCAGTGTCTAGGTGCGCGACACTAATTCACGTTCCCCTCTGCACTTCCTGCCCAATAGTTTGAAAAAACTATTTACCTTTCAGCCACAAAACAAAAAAGCCAGGGTGCAAGAATGCCAGTCAACACAAAAAAAGCACACAAAGTTTTTTTTTAATAAACAGGTTTATTGTTCTAACCAACTGGATTGAAAGCTACATCATGAGAACTAATCTGAAAGCGAAGTGGAGCGTCTTTCTGCGCAGAGACAAAGAAGCCACCTTTTCCACATCTCAACCCTCATTCCTCACTTGTCATCCAGAAAAGACCACCCGGTGGCTGGCAGGTCAACAGGGGAAGGGAGAAAAAGATGGGAGAGACAGAACTGCCATTGTATTGCCATTGTAAATGGCAATACAAAATACATCTCTACTGAGTAGTAGGGAAAAAAAAGACTTTAAAAAAAATCTACAAAAAGTCACCACCCTCCATCAAAAGGGTCATACAGAACAGATCTGCGTGTGGCGAGATTCAGATCAAGAAAGGACACTGGATCTGCAGAACCACCCCCAAAACACTCTGCAGCCTCAGCAAAGAGATCCACACAGAAGAATTCCAGGGCGTCAAAAACAAATCTGCCCACCTTCCAAACCTTTTCCCTAAAAATCCATGACAATCTATTACGCGGTGCATTCCGGTCTCCAGACTGCTTTAGCCTCAGCCTTGGTACACGCATCAGGAAATTTAAATAATACAGCAAGAAAAAAAAAACTTCTACTTTTTCAGGTCTTGCACTAAAATTCCAGAATATATACATACTGTTCTTTAAAGTTGTACGTCTCTTTGCTAGGTGAGATACAGACCAGCCGAAAAGAAAATGTTTTCTTTGTTTGACCAAGACATGAGATGGGATACATTTCACCCAGGGGCACGAACACACCAAACATCAGGGGATCGCTTATGTGGCACCACATCAGAGCTGTGGTCTCCTTATAGGTCCTGGAGAACCCCAAATTAATTCAGCCAATTGTTCAGTAAGGACAGCTGTGGTCTTTAACAGCTGGAGGGTATTCAGAAAACTGGTCCACATGATCTATTACTTTAAAACCGATTCCTTAATAACAGTTTTTGTGTCACACGCCTTTAGAGAGCGATTTTTAACAGTGATCTATGACCGGGCCAGACTGGAGCTTGCCAGAAACCTCCCTTCGAAGCTGCAGAACTGGGTAGGGAGCTGAAAAGCGCTCTGCGGTCAGCTATGCGCTTGTAGGGTGTCAACCCTTCTCCTCAAGCGTCCATTTCTTCTGGTTCCAACTGATCTGTTAATAAGACTGTCTGAGTCCCCCAACGCAACTGACTGATGTCCTGTTTTTAACCAATTTCCACACTCTAGTCTCTGCTGAACTGAACTCTGCCCTGTTTCGGGGCAGTAGACTATTAAGAATGATGACCAGGTGCAGGGAGTCTTCGTCTGCAGAGATGCAGTTTCCTTATTTCCAGACACCCAAAACAACAGAGAAGCCTGAAACTCAGGGATCAACACTGGGGTGATGCTCATTATAATTCCAATCCATGGGGGGGGGGGGAAAAGAAAAGATCTTAGGATCTCATCAACTTTCCAAAAAGATTAGAACCAGAAGAAAGAGGGACACTCCAGGAGCAGGCCTGAGCACCATTCAAGTCACACTGCCCTGCAAGTCTCCCTAAACGTCATCCGTGATTCTGGGGAAAGATCCCATTCCCATTGTGACAAATTCCACCTGGAATTGGAGATAAACTCTGCTAGCAAGGTGTTTGTGTTTTGTGGGCTCTTATTCCAGAGCTCCACCCGCCCACCCCACCCCCACCATCATCTTAAACATTCAACCATTACAAACGTAATGCAAATCACAGCAGGAAAAAAAAAATACAAATCGCTCTCTGGATCATTATGCTTAAAAAAAAAAAAAAGGCTTCGTCTAGTAATGCTGGCCAGAGGGATTGCAGTTTATGAGGACAGGTCATCGGACTGGACCCTTGTGCTGCGGCAGCAGTGGAGCCTAAGAGTGCCTGTCATGTGATAGACCCGGGTTCGAACAAAGTCCAGCACTATAGGCTTTTGAATGGGTAGACCGAGGGCCTTTTCATCAGGCGAGACGTTAATGTTGTTCAGTTAGTGCTTCCATTCAAACCCCAAGGCAAGGGGTATCATAGTTTGGCAGGAGGCTTGGACTGTCAACAACAGAGAGCAAGAAGACTGGAAACTCATCACAGGTAGGCCTCACAAATCCTCTCAAAAGAAAGCTGGTTGGCAGATTTTATGGGCTTAACATTCAACGCCCCCTTGTCAAATTGACTTTTGTATCAGACCAACTTTGTCCCCACTGGCTTTCACTGGCATTTTAGCTGATATTATCTGCCTACTGAGCACTGCTGCTCTTTCTCCCTGACAGCCAGATAATACTAGCCTGGCCGCTTCACAGCCTGGCTTCTCCTGTCCTCAGGAATGTTTCAGCATCATTCTCACCTTGCCGCATTGCCTTTAGGTTTGAGAACTCAATCACCCCCTTCCAATTACCCATTTTTTAAACACTTTTTCCAGTTCTGGGTCGTGGGGGAGCTGCACCCTATCCCAGCAGGCAATGAGCGCAAGGCAGGGTACACCCTGGACAGGACGCCAGTCCATCGCAGGGCACTCAGACACTCACACCAGGGGCAATCTTCCCAGTAGCCAATTAACCCACCAGCATGCCTTTAGATTGAGAGAGGAAACCGCGGCACCCGGACGAAACCCACACAAACGCAGGCAGAACATGCAAACTCCACACAGACAGCACCCCAGGAATTGAACCCAGAGCCCCAGAGCTGTGAGGCAGCAACGCTAATCACTGTGCCACCCTGAATCTCCACCTTCTGTTCCTTTAACCCCATGCTCATTTGCACTTTCTTAGAAAGGGCATTTTGTCCTTATATTCATGCAGTGACTTGATCAAACTACATGGGGTGCAGAGCAGCTCTTAGATTTCAGAATCTCTTACAACTTAATTTAACCAACATCCTCCCCCTCCTTAAATCCAGTACTCTAACCAAACAGCCTGTCGCTAAATTGCTAAACCTAGTTTCTGGTTATTGTCTTTTTCGTTTTGCCTGAAATTTTATTTTAGATCCAGGAGACATGTGCAGTCAGGTACTGAGTCTATTACTGTCTAAAGTTTGTTCCAGGCCTAAACGTCTACGAAACACGTCTGACTTCAGAATATTTGCTTTCCACTTATTTCTGCCTTGTAAGTCTGGATGTTATGTGACAAACATTTCGCTAGCACACAAGCCTCATCCAGCTAATTAAGCATAATCTTTAACGATCCAGAGCGCAGCGGACACATCTTCAATCAAAAAAGGAAATTTTGTGAAAAAAAATCATCTCGTTTTTGCACCTTAAAACTGAGATTTGTTCATTTGATAAAGCACAGCAACTGTCTGTATGCCAAACACTGCGTTTAATAGCAAATTTTAACATCTTCATACTAACATCAGAATTAAAAACATCATATTAAACATGATTAGCAAAAGATTCTTTTCAAATGGAATAATTTGATTACTGAAATGTTTTAAAGACGCGAGAGTTATGCTAGCTGTCCCTCACTGTTCGAAAAAGGGTCGGCACCGCCTGGTGCCCAGAAAATGTAATTGCACTTTGCTTTTGAATGTTTTCTTTTCCAAAACCCCCTTTTTAAAAAGGTTAAAACATTAATCACTTCTTAATTATGTCTCGGCGGTGCATCTTCAAAGCTGAGATGCCATCCCTGACCACTCTATCCAATACTGGCATGAGATTATTTTACTTTTTTTTTTTAAAACCATTACTTTAAACTGCAGAAACTAAGAGTTCAAACAGGAATTCTGTCAAATTTTAACGCTTATAACTCCCAAATACATTGGAAGTGCTGGCCGGCTGGAGAGTCCTCACATTAGGCGCTGTCTGTTGCAGCCTGTGGACAGAGAGAGAAAGGGAGATATTAAAGGCCTTACCAACACTTTACAAGGGTTTAATCAACACGATCTAATGATACGGAGCATAATGGCAGTCCTGCTTGCCCCTACATGATTGCTGGACTTCACCAGGATAAAGTGGGCCTCTTACCTCTTATGTATAAAAAGCACAGCTCTCGTTCCTGCACCAGATGTGGAGAGGACCCTGGGAACTAACACCCACCCCAACACAGTGGCCGTCAATCACCCCCCCGCAGCTAGGGGGATCTCAGATGCCCGTTGTGGTCAGTGACCTCTGTAGGGCTCAGCCTGCACCCAGAGAGGGCCTTGAGCTACTCTGAAACCACCTCCAGTTTTGATGGGGCCCAACACTGATGGGATATGCAGGCCACTCGCGGCTGCCCAAGGAAGCAAGGACGCCGATGAAACATGACTTTGCAATGAGTCGCCCAACAGTCAGAACAGAATAGCAGGACTGATTCAAGAGCAGCAGGCATTTTGGGTTACGCATAGGGTTTCCAGTGTCTGGAACAAGCACATATCCCTTCAAAGCTGGTGAAGCTGAAGCCCTCTCCAAAACAGCTCTTTTATTCTTTTTTTTTTTAATCGGGTTTGAAGTCTAGTTACCAGCAACAAAACAGCCCATTTTTGGGCTGCGACCCTGCTGACGTCCACTGCAGTTATTTTAAAGAAAACAGGTTTGTTAAAGCCCTGACTCTATAGTCTCTTAGCACTCATAGACGGCAATGGTGAAGCTCCCATCACCTTCTCTGGTGTTAGCTGGCCCTCGGGGGCGGCATCCTGGCCCTCCAGTTTTGATTCGCCACCCCGGGGGGGTGTGGCAGAGGGGGGAGTGGCTACGGGAGCCACAGGCTCCGCCCCCGCGTTGTTGGTCTTGGCCTCGGGCTCTGCATGGTCTCGCCCGGCCTCCTCCGCGTCCGACTTCTCGTTCTCCGCCTTCGTCTCGCCCTGCGCCTCGCTCTCCGAGTCCTTGGGTCGCTTCGGAGAGCTCTGGGAGAGGGAAGAGAGAAGGAAACGACTCCGAATGAGGAAGGGGGGGGAAGGGGTAGAGCACAGAACGGGGATTCTGGACAGCGGCCCCACCAAGGGCAGAGAGTTTTCAGGTTTCGTCGTGCACCCCGTTTCGTGCTCTGCTGCTGCGCACGTTCTGGACATCTGCAACTGGATCTCTCCATATAAATGATCCGTGTTTGCGCTGAAGGGAAAAGCCGCAACCCACTGCTGCTCCCGTCGCGTACAAAGTGGACACGGCAGCGATCGGGCAGCCATTGCCCAGTTCCCGGAGAGGCATCAGCTCCACGAGGCTCCCAGCTAAAGTAGAGCCGCCACGAACTGTACACACGAACTTAAGCTTGTCATCTTTCTGGCCATGCCCGAGTCCTCTCATTCCTTCCATTCCCCTGCGCCTGTGACCCTAAAACAAAGGAAGTGATCAAAGGGCAGACCGACCCTTCTCACACTGGGGGGGGCGAGAAAAGACGAGGCGCACCTCCAGCGAGTCCTCGGCTGGCCGCTTGGCCCCGCCCTTCTCGTTCTTCTCGTCGATCACCAGGGTCCCCTCGTCCTCGTCGCTGCTGCCCTCCGCGCCGCCCTCCCGGGCCCCGGGGCGGGCCGCCGCCGCCGCGTCCCCGGCCCCTTCGTCGGCGGAGTCCTCTTTCTTGGTGGGCTGTAGAGGGCAGGAGAGCAAAGGTCACACCCCGACCCCACGACGACCTGCGTCACTGCGACACACCCCGTCTGCCGCCCGGCCCTTTTCAGCGAGGAACTGCCCATTGGTTGGCGATTACACATCGGCCCGATTTGGAACCGCAGCTTGATTTCAGACCCGGTTCCCTGGCGGGAAGACCCGCGACCCACGCCCCCCCCCCCCAGCCTGCAGAGGCACAGCGGGGAGAGCTCAACGGCTACCACCTGGAGGAGTGGGGCGGCTCGGGCAGACGTCAATGCCGGTGCCAGGCCCGGAGCTGAGTGTCCTCACCCGGGCCGACCCAGACCCAGCGCACCTTCCCTTGCCCAGGCACTCCCACTGGACAGAGCCTGGTTACGGTCAGCGAGTGAGAGGACTCGCAAGGCCCCAACCACAGAGTCCAGCTGAGACCAACACCCAGGAGAGATCGAGACAGCTGAGGCTATCCTCCGCACCCTCCACCACAGGGTCCCCTGCAGAACTGGACCATGGGAGGGAGGCGATGGGTCCCAGCCTGCCCAGCCAGCCACAGGGCAGGGAGGTGTGGCGGCTGGACACCCCAGGCGACAGACAGGGCCTCACCTCGTACCCCGACGCCTTGACGGTGGGGTTGTTCTCAATCTCCCATAGGCCCTCGCTGAAGCCTTTCCTCTTGTTGGGCTTTCCGAATTTGTCCTTGCACTCCTCGTACGGAAACAGATCCTTGGGGCCCAGGAACGCCCTGCAGGATGGGAAGGAGAGACTGAGGTGAAGCACGCTTTCCGAGCAGAAGAGCACTGCCACCCCCGCCCCACTGCTACCGGCTAAATCCTAGGAAGACTGTATAACGACACTACAAACAGTTAACGATGATCACATGATCCAGTGAAGTCATGGAGAGCTCAGCTAGAATGAGAATTACAGGTGACCCCAAACTAGAGGCATTTGAGTTGTAATGGTCCAACATGCTGGGTAAAGATCTCTTTACACCAACAGGTACAGGCCTTCGAAAACTGAATCTCATCATTTTCTAGTTTGTGCACCTAAGTGCACCAGCAGCCATATCACCCCGAAACTCACAACTGGCAGCCCACTGAAGCTAAGCAGGTGTGAGCCTGGTCAGTACCTGGATGGGAGACCTCCTGGGAAAAACTAAGGTTGCTGCTGGAAGAGGTGTTAGTGGGGCCAGTAGGGGGTGCACACCCTGCGGTCCATGTGGGTCCTAATGCCCCAGTATAGTGACGGGGACACTATACTGTAAACAGACTAGGGGTGTAACCCCGGTGTCCTGGCCAATCATGGCCTCCTAATAATCCCTATCTATGAATTAGCTACATTACTCTCCTCTCCTCCCCACTGAGAGCTGATGTGTGGGGAGCGTTCTGGCGCACTATGGCTGCCGTCGCATCATCCAGGTGGGGCTCCACACTGGTGGTGGTGGAGGGGATCCCCATGACCTGTAAAGCGCCTTGAGTGGAGTTTCCAGAAAAGCACTTTATAAGTGTAAGCAATTATTATTATAAGTCACAAAGCACTGAGGCAGAAAGAGTTTTGTCCCGGGCTGGCCATGCCCTCTCACCCCTCCCTGAGCGCGACACTACTCACGTCTCGTGGGTCCCGAAGAAGAACACCTGGTACTTGTTGGAGGGGGACTTGACCGCACCCTCCGGCAGCTCGTCGATCTGCGGAAAGAGGAGACAGCGTTGGCTCACCAGACTTTGCTTGTACAAATGTCGCTCCCACCAGCTTTTAACCCCAGTCTCGTCACCCCCCACCCCCCACCCCCACCCACAACAGAGGCACGTCCTCAGCCATGTCACACGACGCACCGCCTTGTACACAAACCAGCAGCAGGTCAGACTCGATGGCACATCGAGGCAACTTTACTTGAAAAGGGGACCCTTGCCGGCTGTTGCCGAGACCCAAAACGGAACAGACTTCGACGGAATGGGAATGGAACCCGTTGCAGCCACACGTGGTACTGCAGGAGTTCCTTGTTAAAGCCGACGCACGTTTTTGTTCCAGCTGGGCTCTCGGAGACAAAGCGGATCGCTGTATATTTACAGCTCTGGAATGGGGATGCAGATCTATTGCAGCTATACATGCTCCTAAACGAGATGCTACCTGACACTGGCTACCTTCGCCTCCAAATTGCTTTGGTCCAATAATGGGCCGAACTGCAATGCATCAGCAGAACCCAAGTCATTCCCCAAAGAACACAGCTTGGCCTCACCACCCCCAGTAAGCAGGCATGCCGGTGCAATTCAGGCCTGCCGAGTGCGAGCTGCTCTCTGTCCTGGACAGGTCAGTCATAGAGGGCCGGAGGGAGAGGGGGCGGGGGGGGGGGGGGGGTTTGGGTCTCCCAGAGCTCCACCCGGCTCCTACGCCACTTAACCGATGAAGTGAGCTCTCCCTAACCCGGATGAGCTTGTATTAAAAAAAAAACAGAACTCCTTCGCACACCACCCTACAGCCGTTGAGGCTTCTGCCTGCCGATCTTGCCTAATGTGTGCGATTTCACAAGGCTCCAGACTAGAGGAGGCCCTTCAGCCCCTCTTGCTTGTTCTGATTTTGCCGTCTGAGCCCTCGGATTTGAAAAGGGATGAGCTCTGAGGCAGAGGTCTCTCTTTAAACCTTCATGCCTCCCCCCCCGCTGTCCCCACCCGGCCTCACAGCCTTCCCTGGCAGGGGAGAGCAAAAGCCACTCTTGTCCAGCAGCACACGCCCTCCTCTCCTGGCTCTCATCCCGGGATTCCTGGCTGCCAAATAAAGATTTCCGGCTGCTCTCCTGTTGCTGCTGCCGTTTAAAACGGAGTAGGGGCGGGGCTGCCTCTGCTCACACACAGGCGCACATACACACTCCATCTGCATTCTCCCTCCGACTCAACGCGCAAAAATGCAACAGGCACAGAAAATAATTGATGCGACACGCCCACGCCAATAAAAAAAAGCCGCACAAGATGCTAAATCTGTTGCACTCCAGCTTCTCTGCTTTCTCGAGCAAGTCATTAATACTGTGTCACACCCCTGGGTTTCAGTGCTCTTCCTGTGCTTTCAGGGTTTGCATTTGCCAGCAGCCAAATCCAGCTCCTTAGCCTGCCTGCTCCTTTCACTTGCTCTCCGGCTTCCTTGGATCTGACCTCTTACCCCACACTGCCTCCCTCCGTCTCTCCCAGTGCCTCGGCTCTCACCACTAACCCCACACTGCCTCCCGCTGTCTCTCCCAGTGCCTCGGCTCTCACCACTGACCCCACACTGCCTCCCTCTGTCTCTCCCAGTGCCTCGGCTCTCACCACTGACCCCACACTGCCTCCCTCTGTCTCTCCCAGTGCCTCGGCTCTCACCACTAACCCCACACTGCCTCCCTCTGTCTCTCCCAGTGACTCGGCTCTCTCAACCCCACATGACCTCAGTGTGTTCCCCTTGCTACAAATCCCTAAGAAGGCAAACAGAGAACTGGTTAATTTATGTTCAAAATGTCAAAGACGTTCAGTGGAGCAATGAAAACAGAGCCCCCCCCCCCGTGTCCCAAGCAGATCAACTGAGCTTGGATGATTCAACACATTTCCTTACCGTTATGACAAACCGTGACATCACGCCTCGGAAGAGTGCGACTCCACCCCCCCGGTCTGCGACTCCTGTAACCGAGCCGAGCCAGGAAGCCCAGCCACAGAGCTATCAGGCTGGACGGTTGGTCCTGACTCACAGCGAGCTCCAACCCCACGGCCTGCCTGCCTCCCCTGCTTCCTGACTGAAAAACACCCCCACCCCACCCCCCGCCCCCGACTGTGGAGCCGGAGGCCGGGAGCTGGTGTGCAGAGCAAGAACGCACAGCCCAGCAGCCCACCGAGGGGACGAACGAGGCAGACCAGCTGCCAGCTTGCAGGGCATTCTGATCCGTTCTGGGTTTTCTTGTTCCCCCGAGCCGTAAGCATGCTACTTAAAGAAAAGGTCAACGAGGCCTGATTTTTAACTAACATGGATGGCACATCTAGGCAAACTGACTTGAAAAGGGACACCTTTGCCGGCTGTTGCCAAGACCCGAAACGGAACAGACTTCGACGGAATGGGAACGGGACCCGTTGCAGCCACACATGGTATTGCAGTAGTTTCTCGTTTAAGTCGACGCTCGTTTTTGTTCCAGCTGAGCTCTCGGAGACATAGCAGATTAAAACTGAAACGTTGTGTTGTCTTCCCTCTCTTTTCAGCACAGGAATAAACCTATTACTTGTTCCTCTGCAGCCTACACATGCTGATGCAGCGCCCTACCTGAACTACTGTTTATCATTACTCATGGGGGGGGGGTGATCAGCACAGAGCTCTGCGATTAGCAATACCATAAATGAAGTGCAAAACATAAAAAAATAAATCTGCCTTTTTAAATCGAAAACCCAACAGCCTCTTCACAGAGCTTAAACATCTATTTTTCTGTATAAGGGAACACGACCAGGGGGTCTGCACATAACTGACTTTGAAACAGCAGTCTCTTATCAATACAAAGTCTGATAAGAACCTAAAAGGGCAACAAATTCAAGATTATTTTTACAAGGAACTTCTTTATGACCAATTACTTTGCGTGTATATAGAGTATATGGGAGGCCCACCACTCTTTGCGTGCAGAACAGCCTCCTGTTCTCAGTTTTGAATGTACTTCCCAAGTGCTCATTGCGATTCCATCGTAAATGAGGCCTACAGGAAAAGCTCACGACAGCTACGGGGTCGTCAAGCCCATCAGCGCTCAGCGCTTTCCTCAATAACAACCGAGTGGTCGCCGGCCAGGCCTGGCCTGGAGAGCTCTCCATCTCTACAACAGGGGGGGCACAACTCCAGTCCCACAGGCTCTCAAGGGCTCTCTTTCCTTCTGGGACCTCATTTCTCCAACTGGGCTTGTTATTTGCTCATCAGACAAATTTGAAGCCTCTCCATGTCCTGGAGAGCCTGGGACATTTAAAGAGACCTGAGCAGCCTGCTGGACAGCGCCCCCTGGAGGACTGGGGGCAGGGCACCCCTCCGGTCTAGATCGTGCCCAGGGAACCCAGTCCACGCACTGACAGCACTGGTGCTGGGGCAAGAAATGTGGCTCTAGAACTCACGTTCAAGTAGACCGACCCTACAGCACAACAAAAGTTCTCCCCCTCTAGTTTGATTAAGAAACCATGACAACTCAGATCACACCGAAAGGTTAGCAGGGAGGCGAGAAATCAATACCAAAATCCCCATTTGCTTAATCTGCTGCAGGCAGTCTCCCTATCGGTTTACATGCCATCCCGGAGGGCTCAATGGTGTCACGGTGCCTCATTTTTGTTTTACTCTAAACTTGGGATTCCAGCAACACCAGCCCCCCCCCAAAGCAACTTGTCAAGGCCACTAGCTGCAGCCCTACATAAGATACAGCTGCAAACTAGCGTCAACAGGCTGGCAGGCTAATCTCCTGCCTCTCAGCCCGTTTCTGTATGTACACGCGCGTGCATGCGTGTGTGTGTGTGCAAGGAAAGCACCTAACAGCACAGAGGAAACTCGATGACTAATCAAAAACCAACCAGCCCAGAGCTCATATCCTGGGCGATCGCTGTGATTAGAGGCGGGAAACGCGAGCTTGGACATATTGTGCTGGCCGATGGGGGTGGGGGTGGGAAGGGCTCCTCTCTGAATCGGGCCCCCCGGTACAGGCCAGGAGGGCCCAAAATCAACAAGCTGAGCCTGGAGAAGGAACAGACCCAAGGATAGACTGGGCCGGCCTGCAGCTTCTCCACAATAACCTCTGCGACTGCTGCGTTTTAGACCCGACTGGAACAGCGTGCCCTCTCCTGAGAAACGCAGGTTCGATCACTCCCTGGGGTCACATCAACTCACTGCGCAGAGCACAAGAGGAGGCAGAAACCTTGCGCTCCTTGGTGATGGGAACAGGACAGCAGTCATACTGCGGCACTTACTGACTGGGGCGGAGGACCTGCGCCTGTGGCTGGAAGGTTGCCAGTTCAAATCCCACGGCCAGCAGAGGAATCCTACTCCGTTGGGCCCCTGAGCAAGGCCCTTAACTCCAACTGCTCCAGGGGCGCTGTACAATGGCTGACCCTGCGCTCTGACCCCAAGCTTCTCTCCCTCTCTCAGAGAGCAAGCTGGGGTCTGCAAAAAGACGAATTCCTAATGCAAGAAACTGTATATGCTAATAAAGTGATCTCATCTCTTATCTTATTATCCACTGCAAATGAACTGTTCAGCACCACTGCAGGAGCCATTTATACAGCTTCCAGCAGTCTGAAGTAGACTGGGTTTAAAGTACAGCACCCGGTACCCAAGGGTCCACAACAGAGCTTAAAAGACACCAACACTGGGGAAATGTTTTTACACTCGCTGGACCGTCTCTGACGGAGAGGGAAGAAACAATGTGCAACTTTCAAAATCTGCTGCTGCGGCGGCGGCAAAAGGGAAAAAAATGCAATTCTTCGGCCAAAAACCATTAACCCCCAAGAATGCACTCAAAACAGGACAGTGTCTGTGAAAAGCGCACTGTCAGACGGGGACAGATGCGCCAGTACACTGATGCAGAACCGGTCCTACCCGTTTGCGCGCTTTCTTGCCATGGCCAAAACATCGTGGCCCGTGACGTGAAAAAATACCCCCTCCCACCTCACGCACGCACACACACCAACCCCAACCCACAGAGAAGTGAGGACCGCTCAGTTTAACGCGAGTCGTCGTCCTTGGGAAGTACAGGAGGCGTGTGCGCACGTTTCCGCTGGACTGGGCACAGCGCGCCTCTCCCAGCTACAGGCACTACGAGGCAGGAGCGCCCGGGATAACATCCCAGCCAGCGCTCGGCGTGAACGGCGCGGCCTTATCAACACGTGTATCCCCTCTCAGGCTCACATGAGGCTGAGCGCCCGCAGCCCTGTCTTCAAGTGAGCCTCCTCCCCCAAGAAACACGCTCCCCGCGGTCACACCTCCTGGCCCAGCGACGACAAGAAACTTGCGGCACCTCTCTCGATCCCCCCCGCTATAAATGCCCATCATTGCCGAAAAACGCGCACGTTTATTTTCTCCCTTTTTAAAAAAAAAACTTTCGTGGAAGTCAGAAATGAAGCTTGACTGTGCATTCCCGAACGGCAGGTGAAGGAGCCGGTCAGACCGCCGGGGCGACCCCCGGTGGTTTCGATGTCACGTAGGGGGGCGCAGGGACACACGTTACAGACAAAATACGGCCAAGTCAAGGTCTCTCCGAGCCGGCATCTTAACTTTCACAAACAGCGGCTGAGGGACAAGCCGTGTAGTGTAACTTAAAAAAAAAAGGGTGAAGACGGCCTCTCTCCCAACCGCTGCTGAAAAAGAACTTTTCTTTTTAAAAAAAATCTCACCCCCACCCCCCCACCAAGGCGCAACGTCCACCCGGTCATTGACAGTATCGCGTTACTTTATTTAAAAAGAAAACAACTACAACAAAATGCGGCCAAATTCAACTTCCCAGTGCCGGCCGGGTTTCTTGGCTTTCTGGAGTGCAAGAGCCCCCACTTTCCCCCCAGCCCTCCGCTCTCCTCCCCCCTCCTCCTCCCCTGCCGCCCGGTCGAGCTGCCCAGGCGAGCCCCCGGCGCGCTGCTCCGTGTGCGGCTGCGACGCGCGGAGAGGCGGCGGGGGGCTGTAGGCCGCGCCGAGAGCGGCGGCGAGCAGGGCGCCGGACCAGAGCGACCGACAGACCGCACGGCTGGGCTGCGTTTCGCTAACAATTTGGCCAACAAATACCAATTCCTGCCTACCCCCCCCCCCACCCCACCGGCGTCTGGATAAACTTTGCGCGGACACCAGCGGTAGGCCCCAGGCTTATATCACACACTGCCGCCACCAGGGATCCATTTTGCAACACAGGATAAAAGCAAACATGTAGACAGATTTAAAAAAAAAAGGGAGAAGACAGGCACAAAGTTAAGACTTTGGAGCGTCGCTTACCCTCGCAGGCCAGTGGGGATAACCTTTCATTTTGGCAAACACCAGATCGCCGGGCTTATATTCCCTTTGCCTGCTCGACCTGGGCATGTTCCGTAGCAGTAATGATGATAGGAATAATACACAAAAAAAAGTTCCAAAAAGAAAAAGCAATCCGAAAAATAAACCTTCTTCCTTCTCTCCCCCCCACCCCTTAAAAAAGTTTACAAAGCTCCCGCAGAAAACAAATGCAAACCCCGCTTTTTTTCTGCACCAAAATTAAGTCACGCGTTAAAAAAAAATAGAAAAATACAGTATAGATTTTCTATGCGAGCCGGAGAGAATTGCAAACTTTCCGCGCTGCACAGCTGTTTGCAAAGTTGCCAAGGTGTTCGTCCCAATTGCAGCTTCTTTGCCCCCTCTGTCTTTCGGTGTAATTGCTGGTTCCAGGGACCTAACCCCCCTCTCCTATCTATCTCCGTGTTTTTGTTTGAAATTGGAACTGCTTCCCTCCTCCGAACCGCGACACCCCCCTCCTATACCGTCGGGCAGCAGCGGCTCTCGACTACTTCGGCCTTTCCTGGGGGAGGTTGTTCTGTTCCGCCGGTAACCGCCTCAGGCCTGGTTAGTCAAACTCAGAGCCGTGGATGGACCTCTTAAAAGGGCAACGTCGCATTTCAACGCACCGAGAGCGGAGCAGTTCACGGGACTTTCCAAACCGCTCGGTCACCGCAGCCCTGTTTTCGAAACCTTTTTAGGTGACACACACAACATCTTAAGTTACACTTCCGTGTAAGAGTTGCAGTTTTAGGGTATTGAAGTCAAAATACTAATAATTTCAAGTTACATCGTGTCGACATTTCGACAAAAAAGTGACTCGACTGGTGTCCTGTTTAAATTGATCAAGTTTTCAAAAACCAGTTGAGATCAGTTTTTTACGCATCACTTTCAACACGACTGTTTACACTCGAGTAGAACACCAGTAAACTTTAACTATTGAACATATACTAGTTCATACTAATAAATGTTTCAGGTGGGTAGCTACGTCAGCATGCGTAGTCTGGAAAGGAACAAGTAATAGGTTATTCCATGCTAAAAAGAGTTTTCTCTCTTCTCTTTTCAGCACGGAATAAACCTATTACTTGTTCCTTTGCATACTAATAAATACCACTTTCATTAGAAAGGAGCTGCTGATTTCTACTGGATTTGAATTAAATTTCCTCTAGGGATGGTAATGACTTCACGTTGTGAGTCTCATCGGATATATTTGAAGGGTAAATTCCCAAGTGAGAACAGTCGCTTTTTAAAATATGTTCTAGACAGACAAGTTAACACATATCAGTTAACCTGCTCATGTTTGTTTGTTTTTTCTATATATGAAGAAGTCCTTCGATCTGATATCGTTACCTCAATTTATACCTCAACTCACGGGATTTCTCAACAAACGTTTGTAAGAAAATGTCCACTTTGTCAGTTTGGGCCGGACACACATGTACAGGTGTTTCCATATCCGTTTTAAATTGGCCTAGCCATCCTCCCCGCTACCTATTGCAGACAGGCAACATCTTTGCCCTTCATGGAGACTTTGTTTCCTGCTTCACCTCCCATTTTTTGAACGGGCACAGCACAATGAGCATGGAAGCCAATTACAGAAAGCGAGAGGAACTACAATTTCCTCCCAGACGCCCTAGCGAGGGCGCGGTGCGTGATGGGAAATGTATTTCAAAGGCGTTTGAAAAAAACGTATTTTTCACTTACTAAACTGGAGACGCGCCTCTTGAAAGCACATTTGAAAGCAAAGACAATGGCTAAAAAACTAATACATGCCAGATATATGAACATAATAAAGCTTATAGGGTCATATATACAATGTTCAAGTCATATATTTTAAAAATCGGATTCAGTTGTTTTAGAATGCTGTGGGAAATTCATTCTTCAGTTAACTGTGGCTGCTTAACCTTGCTTGCACAAGCAATTATACTCGTAAAAATACGCAGCTAATGGTGTTCATACAGTAGCTTTATGGCTCGAAAAGAAAACCGACCGTGATATACAGAACACGAACCCAAAGTCACAGAGCTTGCCAAGACGGTCCCCTTTGAAAAGTCAACTACAACTCCCAGGTTGCTCTGCAGCTTTGTTTTCGCCTCTCTCTCGTGTGGCATTGTGGGAGTTGTGGTTCATTCCTTGAGGGGGGCAACAGATTTGCAAGGCTTTGGGATGCCTCTCGAACTTGCAAACGTAACGGCGAAATCGACGAAAACATCGGTCTGACTGGAACCGTAAGGGGGAGAAAGAACCGAAAGGGCAGAAGAGCGTTTACACACGCTACTGGCGTAGCAACAAGGACACTGGAGGAGAACGATCGAGAAATGAGCAGGCGCGGCCTTCAAGTCCTTCTCAACCACCGACCTCCATTTCGAGCCCTGTACCGGATCTGAGAGCAGCTGAGGCCAAAGCATTCGCGGTCGTTCTCGGCAGAAAAGAGACGGACGTGCTCTTACATTTCATGTAGCGCTGGACTGGAAGTGTGTCATGTCTCATCCGACGATAATGGTCGTTAGAGATTTCATAAACAGTGCGAGGCGACTATTACTGGATAAAGAGCCCCTAAAAACCATTCTGTGCGCATAGGGTCCGAATTTCGGTGTTCACACGTTTGGATGGGCAGGAATACCCATTCGTAGCATTAACACAGTGGGTTCAGTTACAGAAGAATCGTAATTTCTCGCAATGGCAAATACTTCGGTGGAGCAAATTAGTTAACCGATTTACGTTTTAAGGGGTGGGGATTTAGATTTAGTGTCACAATTGTTTATTTTTAATATATATATTTTTTGCATTTGTATCATTGTAATTATTGTCCCGCCCCACCACCAGTTTGTTGTCCTATAGCGACAGTCCGAGTCATGTCGTTGGTCGCGTACGGTAGCAGCGACGAGAGCGATTCGGAAGACCCGACCGAGTCTGGCGCGGGTCCGGGAAGAGGAGCGAAGACGACCGGTCTGTTCTCCAGTCTGCCCACTCCTAAAAACGCCACCCCGGGCAGCTCTGGCCCCTCCAGATCCGGTCCAAACTGGGGGGCCAGCTTCCCCCCTCCCAGGGACAGTGCGGGAAGAATCGGGGTCCTCCAGGGGCCAGAACCGGCGCCCCCAAATCAGCCCCCCCCCCGGCCGGAGTGGTCCCAGGAAAATGACCCCGAGATCCCGAGTTTCCAGCCGCCGTCCAGGGCCGGGCTGAGTTTACCCTCGCCGTCGGGGGGGCTGGTTTTCAACTTGCCCAAACCCAAGAAACGGACGGAGCCCGTCAAAATCCGCATTCCTGAAATCGAGAGAGGGGCGGTGAGTATCCCGACCTTTACTTCCTTCCCTCCCTCTCTGTAGGTCGAACCACAGCCTGCGACCTCGGTATCGTGTGCCCTTGCTCCAGAACAGCCCGCCCCCCCCACCCCAGCGTCTTTGAGCATTAACCACAATCCTAAAAGTTTCTCTTGGATGCCCCTCATCGATTGTAATGCTACGTGGTCGGATTCGTCAGTTGATTATTCTGCCTTGCAGCAATCTGGATCAGGGGTTCCAATGAATTAACCCACAAACCAGATTTGCCAAGAATTTGCGAAACAAGAATGATTGCCTTTAGTCCCCAGCCCCGCCAATTAGCGTGCCTCTATTAAGAGCTAGGAGCGCTCGCAATGAACAGCTCCCTTAAAAAGGTAGAATTCAAGGGACTGTTAATTGCCGAAAGAGTTCAGTGCAGGAGCTGAGCCTTTATACTGGAGCACAGGCGGCCAGGAGGGGCGTCCCAGGGAGAGAGAATCAGGAGGATGATGTGTTGAGTTTCACAGCGGTGCTGTGCTCTGTGCAGGTTAATGAGGTTTGTAGCAGCAGTGTTCTTGACTTTGAGCGCTGTAACCGCTGGCATTTCAGGGACCTCGAGATGTCCGAGGCAGGTAATAGATGCAGCTTTGAGGATTTTTTGTTTTAAGCTGGCCCTGGAGCTCACCTGTGCTCCGAGTAAGCGCCTTTACCATCTAAGTGTCGAAGAAAACTCAGTCTTCACTCAGGTTGGGAGATTGTCAACAGAGATCTTTAATACAATCAGCTGAAGGGGAGCACATCACAGAGATAGGGTTTCCCCTAGCACTCAAGACATGCTCACTGGACTGAAGTTATACTTTCCTTTTTATACATTAAAAGTAGGCAAGACTTTAACATATCAAAGGAACATAAAGGGAAAGGGGCAGTGTCAGAAGTCAAACAACCAGGACAGGAAGATGCCATTTGGCATCCTGCAATCTGTTTCATTTCTCTCTGGTTGAATGGGTGTGAGGAATCACAGGCTTTAGTTTGCACCTAAGACAGTGGTCTTAGGTGCGAACAGAAAACCTTTCCTGCATATAGTCACTGTCCTGACCTTTTGACTCGGTCTTCCACACAAGCATGTCCTTTTATTGACAGCAGCCCGAAACGTGCAGTTGGATCTTGGGTAGCAGTCTGTTGTCGTTCTTATTGTTTTGGTTTGACATCACTCAAGTTCTGCCGTCTCTCTGCTCCCCGTGGCCGGGAGAGATCGGTTGGTCTGCCTTCTGCACGCGTCTCATTTTTGCTTCCTGTCGTTGCCAGTCGGATTCGGACGAAGACGAGCCAGTCAGGAAAAAGAGCGGCCCTCAGGTAGGAACGGTTCGTGCTGGGAGGGCAGGATGGCGGAAGTCAGAGGGGGGGGGTTCTTTTACGATCAAGGGCGATTTTGCTTTTTAAAAAATATTTCCACGATTTTTTTTTCCGCCTCTCCCCCTTCTCCAGGGATCCGGTGGGGGGCTGTCCTCTCTCCTGCCCCAGCCCCGGAATCTGGTGGCCAAAGAGATGAACCGCGCGTTGGTGCCCCACACCCTCACCAAGCGCCAGCCGGAGCCCAAGGCCCCCGCCCGACCCGCCTCCGGCCCCGCGGCCCCGGCCGCCAGCGTCAGCGCCTCGCCCTCGGCCATCAAAGCGGCCGCCAAGTCGGCCACCCTGCAGCTGGCCCGCCAGATGGCGCAGGAGGAGGAGGACGAGGAGGAAGGCAGCGACGGCGAGCTGGCGCCCGAAAACTACTTCTCCCTCCCCGACAGCTCCCAGCCCGGGCTGGCCTCCGTGCCGCCGCCGCCCCCCCCTCCGGGGACGGAGGCCGCCTTCCAGTCGGACGCGCCGCTGGATTTCGGTTCGGCCCCCCTGGGCCCCGCCGGACTGGGGGCCTGGGAGGGCCAGGAGCAGGCGGAGACGTACTACCCTCAGTACCAGGATCCAGATTCCAGGATCCAGGGCCCGGCGCAGGAGTCGTACTACCAGGTGCGCGTTGGTGGTGTAGGGGGGAGCACAGCTGCCTTCCAAGCAGTTGACCCGGGTTCGATTCCCGCACTGACAGACGTTTTCAAACTATGAGCTGTTGAAAACTAGCATGAACCTAGTCATCTAGCTCGCACATCAGGTAACGACAGGGATGCCTCGTGCCTTTTGCGTTGCCTTGTGATCTTAGCCCCTCCAAGATGGGAAACTTAGCATCCTGTAGCGAGCCCAGCACTGAGACCTAATGATATGATCAGCCTGACTGGTTATTTTAAATAGT